TCCTGCTGCTTTTTGTCTGATTCTGCAGATTGCCTTTACTATGGAGGTAGTCCTAAAGTGTAAACCTCCACATTTACTGATTAATCAGTAAACTCCATTTACTTTCTGAATTCTCTTTAATTCTTACAAAGTGTACAATAATTGAGAAAATGCACTCGGAGAATCCTCAGCTTTCTGATGCAAAGAACAAGGCCACTTCTGCATTATTTCTGTGAAGTGTTCCGCAAGTCCTACGTGACCGTTTTTTCTGTGTAGCTTTGTTAATTGAGATCAGTGTATGGCCTTCCCTATAGAAACGATTCCTGGGAATGGAAGAAGAAAAGATGCTGCTGTCTCTGCATTGACTACTATGTATTAGGTTCCTGGACTATTATAATTCAGTGACATTTGAATTAGGAGTACAATGTAACAAACGTGCCTCAAGTAGTGGTCAGAAAAAAACCCTAATGGTTCTGCCAGGTAAGCAAGTAATGGTTCACCAGGCAGAAGAAGGAACTTGAAAACTTATCTAATACCATGAAAAGAAATCTGCATTTACAAGTCTTTTGCTAGCCACATTTGGAATGGAGAAAACAAGTACACTAACTGAGAAGTGAGGAAAAGCTAATATTTGGTGGGCCTTCTGTGTCAGAGAAGCAGCTCTGTGTAGAATAGGGATAACTGTATACCTCTTAGAGGACTTTAATCTTAGTCTTGGACTCCTTTTAGACTATTTAGAAAATGAGGTAGGTATGTACATGGGTGTCTTTCATATACAAGACATTTTTAAAAGTTAAATCTACAAACTGCTTGTGCTTCCTAAAATGGAGATTTGCAGGTATTATGTTGCACACAGAGTTAAGGATCAGAGCGCTTCAGTAGTCCTGTGCCTCCTGAAGAAATGAGCTGAAAATTGGAGTGTCCTGAGGCACAGATGTAGAAAAGGGTCTGTTTTGAGGGAGGTTAGTATCGGTTGATTCAGAAGAGCAGTTGGACTAGGAAGTCTCATGAAAGAGTGGCTGAGAGAGAGCTAGTGAGTGCTCTGGAAATGTACCAAAGATGCCATAGAAAGAGAGAATTCTTAAGCTTGTTCAATCCAAGCAAGCCTAGACACACAAAGACTAAATATGGAGGGCTGAAACCCAACAGCTTGATGAATGCCTGGACAGCTGTTTCAGCCTGTGACGTGTTTATAACACTGAGCTGGCTGGAGAAGTCCAAATCTTGTTCAGTCACAGGATACTCACCCACTGTGAAAACCAGCAAGACTTCCTGGCACTTTCTGGAACGGATTGCCCAGAGCGGTAGTGGAGGCCCCAGCCCTGGAAACGTTCAAGGCCAGGTTGGATGGGGCTCTGAGCAACCTGATCTGGTTACAGATGTCCCTGCTCACTGCAGGGGGTTTGGGCTAGATGACTTCTAAAGGTCCCTTCCAATCCAAACCATTCTATGATTCTATGAAAAATTGCTTCAGAAAGAGGGTGCTCTTGCTCAACTAACCATGCTGCATTTAGTACCCAGGGGACCACCAGTGTGATGCTTTTTCGTGGCCAACAGAGTCCAAGTAACTTCCAAGTGTGGGAGGAACAGCTGCCAGGAATGGAAACAACATAAAGACTATCCATGAGGAACAGGAGAAGAGGAAGTAAGAAGCATTTTAAAATGAAAAAAAGATACAAGACAGGTTCTTCTCAATTAGTGGAAGAATTTTGTTGAGGAAACTTTATATTGACTGAAGCAGAGTAACCTCTGAGGGAACATATAATTGTGTTTTGGCAGCCAGATCTAGCCTGTGATTTCTGGTGAAGAGATACTTTGAAAAGTGCTATTTACTTTGACCATGTAGATTACAAATATATTAGCAAAATGCTGTTATGCTTTAGTTACCTATTCATAGGAAGGGATGGATCATCAGATTTTGGGTTCAAGCTAGTGCATTTTCTAGGAAAGTTTGTATAATCAGCTCCTGCTTTGAAGTAAGAACCCAAATTGCAGATTGTTTTCTTAGACAGTTGGAGCTGTGTATATCTAACGAGCATTTTTCTCCTGAAAATGTTATTGCTGTGGTCTGTATCAATGTAATTCTTCAGTTCATCTGCTGGTTTTGCTGTTTATCAGAGGACTTCTTGTTCATTCAACAAAGGTTTAGTGTAATCATGGCATAGATTTGGACATTAAAGTAAACCCACTACAAGGGTCTGGAGGACCTGGGGTGAAAGAGTTCAAACATTCTGCTATTCTGGTCATCAACTTCTGTTCTGTTTTCCTTTTGCATGGGATTTGTTTGATTCATTTGACCTTTAATTCAAAGTGTGAAGGCTGGTATCAATGAGCATGGAAGAAGTGCTTTGATCTTGTATCATGCGGCAAATTTAATTTGCACAGAATATTCCAAGAAGATTCTAAAAATTATGTCCCCAAATTGGGGTACAAAAGATGGGGAAAGGCATTAACTCTTAGCTTTTACATTTTATGTCTTTTTCCTTTCAGAACTGCTACTGTAATACTAGAACAGAAGAATTAGTCATTCCTAAGTCTGGCACCTAAACCAGTGAAGAATAAGGTTGCCTCTCCCTATGAAATGTAGCAGTCAGCAGTTCTTACATAGACCAAAAAGGGGAAAAGTGTCAGGAAATGAGGACATTCCAAACCCTGGATCATACATTCTGCACGTCCACTAAGGGACACTTTGTGGTTTATCATTCACCACAAAATAGGTGTGGAACTGCCCTTTATGTATGTTCCCTTCTGGTTTGGGTGGGTTGGGTTTTTTTGCTGTTGGTTTTGGGGTTTTTTTCCAGGGTTTTTTTGCTTTTGTACAAGAGAGGAAGACATGATGCTAAAACATCCTCTACTCTATAGTACAGGAAAAACGAATGCCAATAATCTTTCTTTCAAAATCAAAATAGAGCTCCATAAATAGCAGAAATTATTTTTATAAAATGATTTTGGATTATCAGGAAAAATCTGTATTTTTTTAAATTATAAAAAAAAAAGGGGGGTATACATTTAAAATAAACTCACTGGGGTGATATTTCTGGTATAGGTTCTGTTGTCTGTGTGACCCAAAATATACATGTACGCACAACAGGGATAACACGGTGCAAGGACTGAACATGTGTTAAGGAATAATATCAAAAGGAGAACTACCTCCCTAACGTTTAAATCAAAATCATTAGTATATTGCTTTCTTTTTTAAAAAAAGTAAATTGTTAATTGCCTGGGGCACATTAGCACCCAGTCTGACAAACACTTATTAAGTTGTCTAATTTTAGGTATGATAGCAGTCCAGTTGATGTCTCCAAACCTAAATGTGTGGAAAACAGGGTTTGTGGAGATACTGGGTCTGCCTGGCAGGCAGTTCACTTTCTTCATAGCAGCCTGTATGGTATTTAAAATATTGGACAGATTTTTTTTGTTGTTGTTGGTTTTGCTTTGTTTCCAAGCAAAATAACATTCTGGTTTTTTTAACCACTTGAGATCTTAGTGTTGATTTTTCTTTTGCGTTATTTTATACAAGAGGAAAATGAATTAGCAGAACAGCTTTATCCAAAAAGTTATTAACTACGAGCTTACAATTGCCTTTAACGGCATTTTATATAAAGATAACAAATCAGTAAATATTATAGTCATTAGTGTTAATCTGGTATATTAAAGGAATTAAACTATTTAAATGTTAGTTTTTATAAATCATACTTTTCTAGGAGACTCCACATAGGAAGTTTAAGAATGAATTTGCAAAAACTGATGTGCTTTCTCTCTATCTGTGGGCTGCTTCTGGTCTTACCGTAATGAAAAGCTGCACCGGGACGTTCTGATGGCGATCTGAAGATTCCCCAAAGTTTGGGCTGCTTCACTCCTGCACATGCTTATGAAGTTCTCCTCTCGGAGTTATCCCACTAATCTCAGTGCAATGGAAGTCTCTCTTGATTACCGCTGTGCTGGTGAGATCACAGCTTTCATCCTTTTACCATCCTCTTTGCCACTAAAAGAAAAAGAAAACTGGGAGGATTTCTCTGAGTGGAAAAGCAGCAAATTGCTGATGACATAGTCATTGGTTGCCCTGGGAGTACTCACTGCATCCTTCAGTTTAATTTGCTTAATGTATGTAATTAATTAAGCAACTACAAAATGACAGAAATGTATTTGTGGATTCAGTCTCTGTAAATTAGTGATAAACAATTTGATACTGCAGGATGTTAGTGCTTTCTGTGTGGGACTAATGATCTCTAATGCCTCAGCAGTCATTTGAGGAGCTCATCATGTTTACCTATTAAAATGAAGTCATTACATTTTGCTGTAGAAATCAGAATGCTCTTGGTATTACCTGTATTTGGCTGTGAACTTCTGATCACGAATAGGACCTGAATGTTTAGCTGCATCCTGGTGGACAGGACCCTGTGTTATGGGTAGATACTCTTTTAGCTTTAGTGTTTGTAGAGATGTGGAGGATTCAGCTGAAATACCAGCAGTTAATTCAGTGGTGCAGGGCATTCTGCAACCTGAAATTTAACAGAATTACCCTTCTTTTTTTTAGGAAGCCTCACCTACCTGATCTTTCTCACATCTTCTACACAGCAACTATATGAGACAGTTTTTTAAGCGTGATGCATTTTATGGGAGTCAAGGGATTAAGGTGTCCTCTTCAGAGCTTGATTTACAAACATTTAGGTATGCACGCTTCTGTGTAATGTCACTGGGAAACATAATGCTACTCATGAGGACCAGTGACTTTGGGGTTAAAGTAAGTATCTTCAACAAAGGCAAAGAGCACGAAAGAAGAGCAGCACTCCTCTAAAGGGTGGAAATCTTCTGCAGTGCTTGGGCTGAATAACTAGAACTTGCCTAGAGACAGCTTGAGTGCACACCGGTGCTGTGCCCGCGTGGTGTGCAGTTCAGGTAGTTACATATGCAGCTACTGATTCTGCATCCACAAATGATAATTTTTTTGTACATGAAAACCTGTAGAACAAAATTCGAAATGCTAAACTGAAAGAATTTTCAAAATTAGGCTCAAGACCAAGCCTTCCTGCTTTCCTATACAGCATTCTTGCTGTTTTTCTTCCCTCAAACTATTTAAAGGAAACTGATAATTTAGCTGGAGTCCAGGCACATGGTTATTAGTGTCATCTGTACCCAAGAGATAAGTGACGTAACCTTAGGGCAGAGGAAAAAAAAATTGCAACTTCACTTCTTTCTTGTAAAAGTTGTCTTTTTTTTTTTTTTTTCTTGAGGAAATTCATGTGGTTTGTTGTCACTGTCAAGCAGCATAACATGCTTACGAACTTAATCTCTTAGAAAATGTATTATTTGTTCATTTTTGCAAGCTGTGGCCTACATATACAGGAGATTTTCCTATACGTGGAACAAAATGATTTCTCAATAGGGAGGTGTAAGCTGCATGTGCTGGTATTATCAATAGAGGTTAAAAATACAAAAAAGTGAAGATATTTTAGTTGGTGTCCTATATCTGTAGCATATCTAGCAAAAGCCTTATGCAAGTCTCTGACCTAAAATATTGTGTTGTTTTTAAAAATGAGTCAAGCATTAAGAGTTTTTTCCTGCAGTTTTTAAAAAGTAGTATAGTCAGAACAAAATTACTAAGTACAAAGATATGAGATATAATGATTTAGCCCAAAACTTGGGCTGAGATGCATGTTCTCCATCCCTTTTATTAAAGTTGAGGCGTTGTGCAATAGAGTCATGAAGGGGGATGAGAACAAGCAGGCCCTTTGGCTCTGCAGCACAGTGTTGCGAAATTCAGTTTGGAGAAAGTGGAAGCATCTAACCAATAGGTAGCCCTAGACCATCGCATCTGGCTTCACTGGGCTGAGCCTGAAGCCATGACCTCGTTATGCAAACTGAAGCAGTTCAGATCATGCCAAAAAAATAAGAGCTGCAGATCTTCAAGGAATGTTGCAATCATGCAGGGAGGTACTAAGTAAGTTTAGACTATTCCAGAGCCAGACAAATGAGCAAGAATCTGCTGAACTACATTTTTAGCTTTGGACATCAAAGTCCTTTTGATCTAGTCTCGGTAACCTAGCACATTTTTCACTTTATTTCTGCTTAATGCTCTCAGACCTGGCCTAAGTTTTCACAGGGTTAAATGTGTCCATTTTTGTGCTGTGAAGTGTAAACAGGGTCAGTGCAGCAAACACCTTGCTAAGTATGACTTCATTTGGTGCATATGCTGGAAATGACGTGCAGCTTTTAAGCCCTCTGTCGACTAATTCCTTGTTTGGTCTTCAGGTTGAGATGGTGGTCTTCGATCAGAGTACGATGTGTTGTGCTCGATACATCAGTTTATTAAACAACATCATGCAATTTGAATGGCAATGGCTATATAGAATTCTTTGCAACTATAAAACGTAGGCTCAGGAAAAATCCTGGCTTCACAGAAGGTAGTGGCATAAACACTCATTCCCAGTGAAAAGAGCATTCCAACTCATGCTTTTGGTTTCAGTGGTTGCTTATGAGCTGTAGGTACGTGGAAGGAATTTGTTAAGTAAGACAAGTGGCTTCTTCCCTTAGCTGGGCTTGGAGATCTCCTGACTTTGAGATACTTGCAAAGAGAAAGCGTGCATGTGCGTATGTAGTAGAAAAGGATTTTGTGTGTATGTTGTGGCTTGATTTTCTGGACTGCTATTTTTTTCCTGGGAAAATACAGACTTCAGGGTATTAGTGTATCTTTGGCAACTTTAAAAGGATTTAAAACATTTCATCAGCTGATGTTAGTTGTATTCTAAAGGGTAACCAGCTTACTTGGTTAATGGGGCTCCCTCACTGGGGCCAGTTCACGGCATAGGTACACATTTTCAATACTTACTCATCCTGTTCACATGAAACGACAGGGCTTATGCAATCAGTGATCTTGGTCTTTCATTACGTCGCCTGAGGTTTGGGACCTTTTTGCTGTCACTGATTTCCTTCACTGAAATCGGACTCCTGCAAACAAGCTAACTAGGATGTCTGAGGCATGTGTCGGGCACTACTTAGTGCACAATACTTGCAACATTTTATTAAGGCAGTCATGAAAGATGCTTAATTTCCGTAAAAAGGAGGGGACCCCAAAGAACCCACGGGAGCAGCTCTTTGAAAAGCATGAAATAAAGGTGAACACGTGAAGGTAGAGCCGAATCATCGCTCCAGGCTCCAGCGCTGGCATGTTGGGAGAGGAAAAATCCCTTTTCTCCCTCTGTGCATCCGTCCAGCCTATCAGTCAATATGTGCTTTATTACAGATGTTATTGATCCAACGTACTACACCAGAGTGCCAGTACAAATTGTACTTTGGCACGGGACTCTCTGCTATGGGGCTGGCGCTCTTTCAGGCTTTCCTGAACTTATCTTCTGTAAACTTTTTTTCCCCTCTCTGTGTGCTGTGGCTGAAGACTGTGCCTGGCTCCCTTAAGTAGTTGGGCCCTTTTCCAGCAGAGATCTGAGACACTGTGGGCTCACCTTTAGCTTTGGCCGAGGGCAGAGATGCTGCTATGGTTGGCTGAATATTTGAGAAGGCGAGTAGGCTGGAACTGCGGTTTTGGCAGTTACGTAAGGATACGTGCGCTCGCTGCAGGATGTGCCCGTTCCTCCTTTAGAGATACCAGATTACAGGCACTTGGCACGCTTACTTTGCCCCAGTACTTGCACTTCCATGTGAAGAAAGTAACCTGCTGCAGATTGTCAAAGAAACATAAATGCGCGACGGTTTAAAAGCATGTCGTGGATAAAAGAGAGAGAGAGAGAGAGATTCTTTTCTGACTTGTGCAATTTGAGGAGCAAACATAGATGTTTACCCTGTGCCAAAATCTGCCCACATAAGCAGATCAGACTTTTTTTTTTTTTTTTTTTTTTTTTTTTTTAATGTTGTTCTGGAAGGTCAGAAGCTATTTTGTTTGCTGCAGGTTTTTTTTGCTTAGTGAAGCAAAGTTCACAGGAGCCAGAGTAATAATTTGATTTCCAAGTTTTCTTCATTCTTCACTGTGTGCTTAGTTAAATATATCTGTGGCAGTCTCAGCTTTGAGCAGCAGCAAAGAAGCTGTAACTTCTAAATAAGCAATAAATGCCTTTGTCCATTTCAAAAAAAAAAAAAGAACTTAAGAATTACTGTTACAAATAGTATGAAATGGCTCAAGAGCTATTTACATCCTGACTGCTTGTATTACGTGCACTGAAAATTTATGATGTAGCTGTTTGAACATCTTCACGTGCAAAGACTCCGCCACCTCCCATAACTCTCATTGCTCTCCTGGAGTCTGAAGCAGAAATTTGGGGGCAGACACATCCAGCGTGCAAATGCAGTGTTAAGGATAGCTGACCTTTTGTATCGTATATGTTTCGAACGGCGCCGAAGGCTTACGCTATTGTAATATGTTAGGGCTGAATCACGAGATTGAGTCTCTTCGCTTTGCCAGGGGCAGTTTTCATTCCTATCTCTTTACCATTATGTCTCAATGTCTTATTTGCTAAATAGATAATAATTCTCTACCTGATAAGGGTACTGCAGCTTTTCTTATGTTTGTGAATTTTTTACTGGGTATGTATTTCTGATAAGCTCCTAGCAAAGCAGAAACATAACAGTGCGGACTGCGTTGTTTTGGGTACGTACTAATGCCAGCCAGATACAGTCAGCTAGAGCCGTTCGCTGCGAGGTTATGTGACTCATTGATACGTGGCATAAACTGCCCTGTTTATCCCAGTACCCTCCTGCCCTTTTTGGGGGGGTTAGAGATGGAGGGAGAGAGGTTAGAGAAGGACTCAACTTTCCCTATTGTGTTCTTTTGTCCTGGATATTCTGAGCTTCTTGTTCCGAGTCCTCTTCGCTAGTGTTGAACCTCTGAATATATATAATAGTGAAATGGAAGTAGATGAGGCAGCTTTTATTACATTTTTGCTGATTAAAACTTTCTGAACTGTTTTTAGTGCTTACTTATGCAATGAAACTTGTAGAAAAGCTCAGCAATCAGGAAAAAGACATCTGATTTCGTTTTCTCAATCATTTTTCCTATGTGTTAAACACTGAGTAACTTAATTTCTAAAACATAGAATTGCTAAAGTAAAATAGCTGAAGTAAAGAAGAGTTGCCTATATGTTTGAGTAGCATTTTCTTTATTTAGAAGTGATGGCTTCTTTACACCCTTGTTGCCTTGTATCTGTGTACTATTGAGCTAAAGTTACCAGCATTTGAAGTAGTTTTTGGGTCAACTGCATGTGAAATCAGTGGACCTCTTATCTGCTAAGGGAGAAAATTTGCCCTTTGTCAAAATGATGGTTGACACATCCCCTAAGGAGGATTTCAAGCATGGAAACTGATAAACTGGGAAACTGAGGAAGGGGAGGTATACTTATTGAGGATAAACTGAGCATCTCCTCCGCATTGTAGCTTATGTCTAGTTGTCCTCGATCTGTTTTCTGCCATGGAGGGTGTATGATCTTTTGGCCCTTGTGGCAGACCTCAGTTTCATGGTCTGGAAACAGCTTTAAATTCAATAAACTGTGAGTCATCGCATTTGGAAGAGGCTGTCCGAGAAGAGAACACAAATAGAAGCAACTCTGGGGCAGTTCCATAAAGTACCGAGTGGAACCCAGAAGGGCTGCGTGGGAAGGTACTTCCAAGGTTTCTGCTCTTTCCAGAAATGTTAACCACAAGCTGCTCAGAGCAAATTCAACAGCTGATCTTCTTTTTTCTAGTTTTAATCTTTTTCTGACTCTTAAGGATCCAGAGTTGAAGTTGCCTTTTTTTTTAATTTTTTAAAGCCATATTGGCACTCAGTTGTTACTGAAAAAAAGAAACTGATTTTTGTTGTACTTCCCCAATAAACTGGTACCACTACTCCACTTTTAGCAACTGGTTATCAGGACACACTCTGCAATCAGAAAATCTGTAATCAGATTCTTTTGAACTCTTCTACGAGTCTTGTCAGAGCACCTTTCTTTCACGACATGATTTCTGCCTGCACAAACACAATTTAATACTGAAGTTCATTTAAATTAGCTAGTGTAGTGTTGCTTGATGAGCTGCCAGGTAGACACGTGTATGTACTTCAACTGAGACTTGATCTGCTGCTGCTAAACTCTCACTTGCCTGAGGTTTTCACACTCCATTCTTCCTGTACTTAGGGCATTACCTTGGCTGCTAATTACTTCTCTCATCATGTACAAAACTGTGTTGTTTACTTTAAAGGTGATGCATCAGCTTCATCCCGCTTAACTCGCAGACCTGCAAGTTAACTGCCTGCTTCTACGTCTTCCCCTGAGGTTCTTGTTCTACTGGTTTCCTGTCAGCTTCTGCTTTTCAGTTAGAATAACTTGGAAACACTTGATTTCAGTAGCTGTACTTTTAGATTTTGGAATTTAGTAAGTTTTACCTATTGTGCATACCTGTTCCCACTTCACTTTCAGATGAATATACAATATCAGCGGTTGCATATCCGTCCAATGACTGTGTTTGACTTGCAAAAATATTTTAAGATACCTATGTGCAAAATGTCATGGAGGTATACTTTGTACTGTGTTGTGTGCTACAGACCAGGCCAAAGGAGAGGATACAGTTTAATCATTAGAAACCTCGGACTGAGAGGCATGACTTTAGGTTTCTATTCTTGGTTTTAATGCTGACTTAACATGTGACTTCTGCAAGTGATTTAACCTTTGTATGCCCCTGCCTACCCACACATAAAATGAATATTAGAATCTCTGCTTCTCAGGTTTTGTCATCGAAAAGACTACGCTAGTCTCTCTGTTGCAAGCAACCCGTTTGATAGCAAGTTTAATATAAAGTTCAGCTCTAAAGATTCATTTTCATCCCTCTCCATCCTCATCCCTTAACGGCACAGCTTCTACTTACTGGGTTGCTGGCTCATACACCCAGTTGGTGACCTCTCACAACAACTACATTTCAATAAAACAAAGGCACTATAAACTAGAAGAATGAGGCTTGGGAACACAGGAGAAAGCACATCTTCAGAGAATGGCCTTGTGAACCTGCAAATCACTCCCGCACGCAAGCCTGGTAGCTGTAAACCTCAGCTTCGGAGTAAAAGGGAATAACATACTACCTGAGCTTAGCCTTTTTGACCTCCCTAATCCAAGCATACCAAAATTCAGTACTTATATAGATAAAGAGAAGGAAGAAAAAGCCAAATCTGCAGTTATTTTTTTTTGTGCATGATTTTGTGGAGTGGTCAGGTGCCGTGTTGCCATAAATGATGTATTTGGATTAGACAAAACTCTGACAACTGTGTTCCTCTATGGTCCACACGTCAGCTGTGTGAGCAAGTTTTATTTCTGCAGGAGTTAAAAATATTGTACTTATGCAATTTGTAAGTGGTATAGATTTACATATGCATGAGTCAAAATCTTTTTTTTTCCCCTTGCTCTTGTGAGTAGACCAACTAGAGACAAAATGGACCTCAATGGGATTCGGCCTGGCTGTGCATCTCTCTCACCTCTCTGCAATACATACATCTCTCACGGGACATGGGAAAGCTCTCTGGAAGTTCTTACTCTCGAAGACTAAGTACCAGCTAAAGTCTTGACAGTGCTGGTTTGGATCCACACTGTATTCTTCCCCTCAAGTTTCTAAACTTCAAAATAAAGGAGAAAATGGAAGTAGAAATTCTTAAAAACTGGAGGCAAAGGAGCAAAAGAACACTTCTAAGTGATACTTGGACTAAGTTTAACAGTGGGAACTGGAGGCAAAGGAGCAAAAGAACACTTCTGAGTTCTAAGTGATACTTGGACTAAGTTTAACAGTGGGGAGAAACTCAACTTCATTAGCTTAACCATCATGTGCAGAGACTGCAAGAATTAGTGGAAAAGATTCCAAGTGTGAAAGGAATATTATCAAATTTAAAAAAAAAAAAAAAAGAAGAAAGAAAGAAGTAAGTAAAAATATTTTATCAGACACTGCTGCTGCAACAGATTTCCATGGAAGGCTGGGAAAGAAGTGCTGAAAAGCCACATATTCTTTCCTTGGCGTTGTGCATCTGCTCAGAAATAACAGTCATGAGGGAGACATTAAGAAAGTATATAAGCGATCAAAAAATTTAAGTAAAATTTAATATATGAGTGACTGTGTCTGATGAAACAACTTGGGCAAGGGACCAGAAGTTCTGTGCGTTAGTACAAAGCCTAACTCCAAGCCTGGTTAGTAGTCTCTGAGTGCTCCTGGATGAGTGTGAGTGCAGATAGGAAGATGACTGAGTGAGGCAGAGAGTCTGACGACTTTATTCGTTATAACAAAATGCCTGCTTTGCTGAGGGGGTAAATATCGATTAAAGATGAAGGCTGAAATTCTGGCCCCACTGGTGTCCGTGGCAAAACTTCTACTGGCTCTACCTCCAGCAGAATTTTACCCATCACCTTGAAATTTAGCCAGTGGAGGTAGCAGGAGACTACTGTGAGGTCATCTCTCACGGGTTTGGTCCCCAATCTTTAGGACCAGATTGTGGTCAGACATCTAAAGCAGAATGAAGATGTCTGTCTTTGCCTCCTGCGGCTGCCTTTTCCCATCCTCCTCTGTTTCACCGTAAGGCGGCCTGCCTGCTCCGGCCGCTCGAGCTGGGCACCGGGTTTGTAGGGGGCACCACTCATACAGCAGCCCCTGCCCCTGTCTGCCGCTGGTACTTGCAGGCAGGAGTCACCACAGTGTTTTAAGCCTCTAAAGCTGATTCCGCAGCGAACAGTGCTGTCTGTAGATCATATGTAGACCCTTCCTTTTTAGCACTGGTTTTTTATTAATGATGCCAGTGGCTTACTCTGATACGCTCCATTGTATTCTTTCCTGTTTGGCCGTAGCTATATTAGTACAACTTTATACCTGTGGTGTTGAAGTAGTAGAGGATCGAACTTTTTCTCTGTGTTTTCCAATAATCTCCAAAATTATCTTTCCAGCCACTAGCCCTTCAGTTTTTCAGTATGTCCTTTTAGAACACAGGAGTACATTATTCCAGAGCAGTCCCAGCTGCACGCAGAGACAAAACAGCATCTTTGTTCCAGTTGCGTTACCTTCCTTGTAAAGGCTGGGCTATAGCTCCTTTTACAGCGTGGAGAGCTCACATTTGGTGAAGTTTCTACATAATTTAGATAGCATTTTTAGTCGCCACTTCCTAAAACACAGCCCACCATTCTGCAAACATTCATGTTCTGTTCCCACATGTATGGCCTCGCATGGCTTCCAAGAGAAATGTTTCCTAAAATACACCATGTAACTTAAACTTGGAAAAGGAAAAAGGAAAACTAATTACAGAAAAACAAAAATATTGCCTCAAATCCAAGGAGTTGGAGACAGGGAAATTTCTATCATTCCTCTTTAGAAAGCAGAGCACGTTCACGTTTTAAGGTTTTCTCAGAAGCCTGTTCTGAACTTGCGTGGAAAGAATTCAGAAAAGCGCGACGAACAGTATTTCCTGTGATTCTTTAGTCTTTTACAATGGGCAGTAATAAAAAACCCCGACATGTTCATCCCGTAGAGGTGCATACCTCTGTATAGTAAATGCCAACCTACAATAGCTTTGCTAACCTTGATTACTTTTCATGGACTTCCGAGAAGTAGCCCATGAGCTCCCAAGGGGCCTGCAGACCACCAAGTGAAAAAACTCTGACCTCATCTTATCCAGGGCTCATCCCACAGCACAGCAGTGGGCGCAGAGCAGCAAAGCCTCCAGTCACTGACTCCTTGGGCAATATTAAAAACTGGTGCGTGGGGCAGGCCCCTGGAAGCTCAGGGGTAAGATGATGGGTGTACGAACGTAATCCTGGCACATAGGTATCAGATAGCGTGATCGGGTGTGTCGCACGGATGATGGCGAAAAGCAAAGGCCCCCATCCTGCAAAAATGAATGACATCAGTGGAGCTACTTCTAATTAGACCAGTGATGTCTGCAAAGCTACTCCATCAGGTATCCTTACAGATCTGGACACCGAGGTAAGCACGGGAGAATGTATAGAATGGGGGTGTGGTTTTTTATTTTCACGTAGATGAAAACAAGGGGAATCAAAATCTTAGTTTAGGGTCTAAAATCCGAAGAGGCTTCAGGCTGTTCTATGAATAGAAGCACGATCGTCTTATTTTTGCAGTGAAAAAATATCTTGGGGGGGGGGGAGGATGTATTTGTAGTGAACTACAACTTTTTAGGATGTGTAGCAATGTAAGTGCTGTTGCATTATTGGGTAGGTAGGCGGGTGAGATGGCGGGATAAACGACTCGATTTGCGCGGATGAGCAACGACCCGGTTCCTCTGTCGAACCAAGGTGCGATTCTCTGGCAGACTGATACGGCTGTGGAGGCTGCGTGAATTTGTATTTGCATACTATGGGCATTACTTTCCACAGATCGCCTTAATTCCCTGCCTGAGATGATGTTGAATCTCCTCCGTGGGGTTTTATTACCGCACACTGTTATTTGCTCGGGAATTCTGCTCAAAAGGGGGAGTTCTCCTTCACTCGGGGAGCGCAGGTGCATGGCGTGAGGTAAAGCGACTTCTGTGGAAAATAAAGAAATCTGCATTCAAACATACTTTTTGGATAATGGAAAGTTTAGCATGTAATTTGGTGCCAATTTAAGATAATTTCGCTTCCTGCGAGAAAGACGTGAACGGAGCCGCAGTATGTGTTAGCTCTTTCTTTCTTTTGAGAAGTATTAAAGTTGGGGAGCTGGGGGGATACCGCTGGGGGCTGAGAATAGGGACCCTGCCGTTTTATTCTTGCCCCGGCAATTAGGCGCTAGGTATGTGGCCGCAGCGTTTAACTCTTCCGTGCCTCAGTTTCTCTGCTTGCAAAACAGCGAATTATGTGTTACGCACAGGGGAGCCTGCGCAGCGTCCTAATCCCTGGTTGTGCAACCGGCTTACATTTTTCGGGGAGAAGAGTTAACCGCTGGAGGGTCACGCCAGCAGCGCCACGGGCGGCATCTCGGGGCAGACACGCGTGATTTCCCAGCTGCCGGGGGCAGACACGCGTGATTTCCCAGCTGCCGGGGGCAGACACGCGTGATTCCCCAGCTGCC